TTCTCTGAGCTGGATGGTTTGGTCGTGGAGCTTTCATCGTCCTTCTGAATGACATCATCAGCCCAAACTTCAGATAGAAGTGAAGTGTTCGAACGATGAAAGCTCCACGACCAAACCATCCAGCTCAGAGAACAAAACTCCATCAAAATCATCCACCTGAGCTACAAATCTTTTCCACCATCTCAAAATCATATGAGGTAAATATACTGTTTGTAGTTTGAGATTTAGTAGAAATGCTCACTTGAGGCTCTGAAATACTCATTGCTCCGATACATAATATCAAATGAAGAATTTTTAGGTTTTCTGGATAGAGTAATATTATCTAATCTGCTGAAATATAGGTTGGTTATATATAAAGTTCATTTTTAATTTACAAGGGAGTTTTTGACTGGAATTAGTGAATTGTAAAACTTTGGTACTGATGTTAGTATTAAAAATTAATATCGATCTTATCATTTGTCTTATGATTATCATATCAAGTATCAGAGAGAAGTAGATGATGACTAAAAAGGCAACCCCCTGTAAATGATCTTACACCCTATCATCCGACGTCTCTAACCATTAATTAAAAGTATTGGTTGGTTCTGAATCTATGATGATTGGATTAACTGACATGGCTCAAATGGATTCACAGACTGATGTCATATCTTGATCTGCCTACTTTCAACGTTTTCCAGACTACCTCTATGACAACCGGCATTGAATGTTGTGGTGAGTGTTAGTTAGGGATGCGCAAAACGTGACCGAAACACCTCAGTCCGAGAAAATTTTAATCTTACCAGTCATCCTATTCGTTTTACTTAGTACCCTACTTCTAACCTTAAAATTATCTACTCGTTATTATCAGCTGGTTATTTGATCAATAATTTTCATCATTCTTAAAATATTAGATACGAAATCAACGGTGATCTGTTTAAATCCACATAACATGAAGTTACTGATCTTTGTCTAAATTTTCACGGAGAAGGAATATGATACTAGTTCCAGTTATGCTAGGAATGTTTCCGTCTACGTTTGAAGACACGTTAAAAATACATTTCGTAATTATGATACAGTCATAAAACTCCTGCGATTTACTAAAAACATTATCAGTATGTGTTTGTGGAGATTGTCGAGAGTTTGGTTGAGATCATTAACCTATCAACGTCGCACAAACATTGAAACCCTGGAACTACTGGATGGCCATTTTATCCTAGTATGGAACTCCTTACCAGTGAGCACTCACGATCTGGCACGCCGGACTTGAACCCAGGACTGGTTGAAGTTAAGCATTAACACCGTTGGATGCCGGCCTAGTGGTATTAAAGTTAAACATCTGCGCGCAAGGCCGAAGGCTCTAGGGTTCGAATCTCATGTGCCGGATCGAGGTGGAGCACAGGCGAACAGTTCTATACGAGGACGAGACGGCCGTTCAGTGCCTCCAAGTTTTCAATGGTGGTGTAGCATTGATCGATCCATGTTCTCAGTTTTGAAAAATTATATTTGTTATATCTAATGTAAACGATTAGAGTGTTTATGTACAATAAAACGATAATTTAACTGACTCAAACCTTAAATGGTTTAAGCAGCAGAAATTTTGTTACTTATAAAGGTTATGTATGTCATGGAATATTATGTCCACTAGAATACGAATCAATTAAGAATGTAGTACTGCATTTAGAATAAAGTGAATTAACTAATTCTAAATTTATGTGTTGTTAGAGATTAGAGCAGTAAAAAATATGTATCTTAGGAGAATTATTTTGATGGAGTTCAATTTAATGTCAATATCAAGAAGATTCACAGGAAGATACTGAAAGCTTTAAATGAAACTATCCAATTCAGAGAATGCAACTCCGCTAAAAAGACAAGACAAATGCGGATTTTTTCCCTATCTTATCTTAGTTTCCAGAAATGTTCACAGATCGTAGGTAAAACAATTCAAGCACAAATTTAATAAATACAGACTTTGATTCTTTAATTAATTATTAGTCGTTTGAACTCTCCGATTGTTGATATCTTAGGTGAATTTTTATCAGTTTTAGCCGGTTTATGTTCATCCTGTGTGGATTGCCTCGATATAGCTGTTACGTCACGAGTTTATATAAAACAGACAGAATATGGCTAGCAGTAGAATCCACTTCGTCCTATTTAGTTTGAGTTCCAAAGTGAGTATTAACTCTTGAGTGCAGGTACATCCGGTTGACGAAGACAAAACAGCACAAAATGTGCGTCTTGGATTCTACTACGAGCTACATCATATCTTTTGTATGTTTTTTCGTCCAACTCTCAATGTCATACTATTTTTTAACTGCTTATTTCTTGTATGCTTACTTTAATTTCAAGCTTTTTCTCTCACCGCTAATATACCCTGTTCTTTTTGCTGTTAAAAAGTGAAATCACATGAATAAGTACATGTTTTTCAGCAATATAGTGTATTGTTCCGTCGAAATTATATTGAGCATAGACTAGACAATTTTCACTAGTAAGATTTACTCCGATCAAATGTAAGACTGACTGATACTTTTAAATGAAGTCGGTTTACTAAAGAACAAAACATTTTTTTCAATGTCATATAATGTGGTCACATATTATTAATTGAGCATTCCAAGGTCTTGTTCGTTATTTGAATCACACCGAATTTCAACACATATTCAAGTAACATGAAATTATATGATACAAAATACATTTATATTCATAAGACAGTTAATTCACTTGGTGTTGTTTTACTTGTATCTTCGCATTGTTATTTAAGACTGCAATTGATCAGTCTCATGTTAGCATATATGCATCCTGTCCGGATTGCCTCGATATAGCCTTAAGTCACAAGCTTTTTAAGCAAAGATGGATAGTGGCTAGTGAATTTAAGCTTCACCTCATTTCACAAGCAGATGGCTATCAGGATTCAGTAACTAAGTGGATAACATAATGGTGGGTTCGAGTTCCGGAATGAACATCAACTCTGCGATACAGATACATCCACCTGACAAGTACCAAATAGGACGAAACGAGCGTCAAACTGGATTCCACTGCTAGCCACTATCCATCTTTGCTCAATAAGACAGTTAGTTTGTTCATTAACTTTTTCTTTGTCTGGTTTAATAGTATTTTAGCTATTGTTCTATACAAGTTATTGTTATTAATAAAACTATCTATATTTCATGTTTTTATTAAATTTTAATCATTTTATTTTTCAAGACAATATTGTTGAATTCTACATACTGAAACAGATGTTTAGGATAGTAATTATCCAAAATCCAGAGAATAATTAGACATGACATAAACTAAATGATGTTTTCTTCATTTTAATCTCTATGCATGAAATTGTATCAATTACATACTCTTTGCTTAGTCATAACTAAACAACAATTATATAGATAGATCTATTGTAAATTGTGTAATATTTACATTTTGAAATGAAACCGAAGATTTTCCTTTTTTTCTGTTTGTTTAAATCATATCTAATAACATAAATTGAAATAAATGATATGTAGTACTTGGTTTCTTTTCTCATCTATAATGAGTATGAATTCATGAAACACTGATTAGTCAACATGATTCAATTATTAAATTCAGTGAATATATCACATACTTCATCTTTGACTGTATTTATTAATAAATAATGATGTATATTAATAGGGGGGTTTGTGGATATTATGGTAATTTCAATAGTGTAGATCATGAGTCAGTTGGAAAACCTGGAAGTACTGAATGGCCGTCTCGTCCTATTATGGGACTTCTCAGTAGTAAGTATCCACGGTCCCACTCCATGTACCTAGGACCTATCAGTCTCGCATGCGAGCGCTTAACCACTAAACCACTGAGCTGCCATGTCTAACTTCAAGTGATCCACAAAATTGAGCCACACATCCACCATTGTCTTCAGTGAGTTACTATCTCACAACAGACTCGGTTAGACTACACTGGTCACTGCTTCTCACTAGAACTCCAAGAAATACCTTTTGAAGCCACAGTAGGACGAAAAGGCTGTCTAGTGGTTCCATGTTTTTTATGGTGGTCTAGCTTTAATTGACCCATGATCTATTGAACTAGTGCTGTGTTGTTAATCTCATATTAATACTTCTAAAAAAGTAGTCGATCGTATGATTTGAATTAAATTATTTATGAATATATGGGATGATTTTCTCAGTAAATATTTAAAGCTTGATTTTATAGATAATCTTTATGTTCTGTGATAGCGAAATCTTTGAATGTAAGCTGAATTTAGCGTAGAATTAAACTTCCGAGAAATAATAAGTGATCGCTAGTCTATGTGTACATGTAATGTGACAGACATGAATTGACCCCAAGTACTTATGAATTGAATTTACAAACTGCTGAATGATTTACAAAGCATCAATCTTACAATGATTTGTGCATAAATGACGTTTGGTAATGCTCACTCATGTGTGAAATATTTTCCACTTAGTTACAGTGGGTTTGTGGTGGTTAGTTACATTACAGACTGATCTTATTTAGACAAGCATTAAAAGCTAGAGAATATTGGACAGCTGTTTTGCCCTAGTGTAGGACACCTCATAAGTACACAGTTATGATTCCAAAAGAGATTGAAACTAGAGGTTTCAGATATCACAGCGGTCGCTTAACCCATAAACCATTAAATGTTATTTCAATGGTTTACATTTCCAACTTCAACCAATCCTCAATATTGCGTAACTATCTGTTAACCATGGTTTTGATTAGCTATTTTGTAAACGTTCACTTCTGTATGACATTCATACTGATAATATTGTCTAGAAAGACAATGAAAACCTTTGGATTAAACAATCCAGCCTAAAGAATCCCATTCCACTAAAGTCATTCTTGAAAGCTACAAATCTTTCCCAGTTCAAGTGCTTTAAAAATAAAGTGACTTGGTAATCAATGACAACTGACATTATAAATAAATTATATAGTTCTCCTAATAATTTCCTAAATTCGTTTGCGTTTTATCCTCTTACCATTTAACATCACACGTACATAAACTCTAATTGACTCTATTTTTTTTATTATTCATACAGCGAAATGAATTCAATGGTGTTGTACGTTTCTTTTTTCGTGGAGATGATGGAAAATATCAAAGCAAATGTATACGTATAACAAATACAGATACAGCAAGATATCTTGTAAATATACTAGTTGAAAAATTTCATCCAGATTTACGTATGCTTACTGCTGGACGTTATGCTATCTATGAATATCATGCAAATAATGGAGGTCAGTAACAATTAATAATAACAATAATAATAAACCTTTTATAATTATGGTGACCTAGTTATTTGTAATGAGGTGTGGCAACTTAGACTGATACATATATGTGCCTGGTCCAACGTTGTAGGTGACTGACTGACTGAGTTATTTGTAATAGATATATCCAATATTATTTTTAAATCAGTCACATTTATTACTCAAGCATGAAATTTATGTTCTTTATCTCAATGAACGAAAGAAGAGAGTGTTTTTCTTTTCGTTTAAACTTAGATAAATAGTATGATAATTAGTTCAGTGATTACGATCCAAATGTGATTCAGTTGAGGAAGTACAACTGACTGAATAAAGAATTATGTATTAAGTGGAATAGTTTTATAATGTGATATTTAATTCAACTAACAAATCATTGAACATTGATTAGTGTTACATAATAATTTACATAACTGATCAAGTTACAGATTAAATCTCATTCACTGGATAAGTCATTATTCCTTACAGCTATTCAGTTTTCATTTTAATTTATATAGCTAAGCATGTTATCCTATTGAATGGCTTTTCACTGAGTAAGTTGAACAATAAGCAACGAAATTTGTCATGAGGTTTGTAAGTAACCAATCGATTCGAAGCTGTCTTTCATCACATATATTTTAATAAGATCCTACAACATGTATAAAACAAATGCTGATCATCCGGATTGAATAATCACTATGAAGAATAAATAATTCATTCATATCTAAAGATAATAATTAAATTTTAATAGTTGAATCCATGGGTCGATTAAAGCTAGACCAGCACTGGAAAGCTGGAAGCACTGGACGGCCTAAACTCTAGCCGGTATCCAGTGGTGCTAATGTCTAATTTCAATCGATCCATGATCTTAAGTAACCGGTATGCGTGATCGTGGGTGTACATTGTTGAGGAGTCCCACACTGGGTCGAAACGGTTGTTCAGTGCTTTCAGGACTCCGATTGTGGTCTAGCTTAGATAGACTCATGAATCCAACTATTAAAATTACTACAATCTCCACAAACCACCATTCTGATAATAATAACAACTATTAAATGACCATATAACAACATACTTGTTACAAAAAGGTTTACTACTGAATTCTAATTCTTTTGGAAGTTGATGAAATTCAAATAAAAGTCAATTAATCATTTATTGAGGTTGATTTGGAATTTAATTTCAATCTATTTAGTGTTTGGATTTAATCGACTGGAAGGCTGTAAGTATTACTGGATGTTTTAACGGTTGAAAGAAAAACCAAGTGAATACTGACCTCTTACTTTCAGAGATATTTCCAACTCATTTCAGTTAACTATTTGAAAACTAATGACTTTTATGTGTGGGATTTGTGCCTTTGAATTAGTAGTATTGTCTAAAACACTACCCTTAAATTGGTTTCCTTACAAATTACTTCTTGAAAAAGTTAGATTTTCAGATTGAATATTATACGCTATCTAACTCTTAGCAGTAGTCAGTATTTTCTTGATCAAGTTAGTAATGTACATACTTCATTTAGGCCGTTCTGTATTTCATAACAGATATTTTTACTCGTTAGTAATGACATAAAACTTCAAAGAAATGTATGATCTATTTAGAGTATTGAACTCTTGTGTTGTAATGATGGTCTTCTAATAATCTAAGTTGTATACTCAGTACGAAGTTAATCCAAATTAGTTGAAAGGTTTTAAATATCAAAGAATACAAAACACTACAACATTTATGTTCATGCTTATAAGAGACGAATATGTAGGAAGTTAGTTGTATATTATTACACTTCACTTTTCTTGAAGGTTATTACTAACCTTAAATAGCTCTTTTTATCAGAACAATGAATACATCTAACTGCCTACTTCCTTAGATATCGTACTGTTATAGAAAATGTTCATATCACAACAAAGACTCGTCGCGAATCTATTTCCAAATACATTTTTTAAAATTTTAGTCACCCTTGTCCTGAATATCGAGTTCTAGTTAACAACTATTCATGCATGAATGATAATAGTACTTTAAATATTTGCCATACATATTTCTATTCTAGTTCTATCTTTTCTTATATCCTTTCATTCCTCATAATTTCTTTAGAACGGCGTTTAGGAGCAGATGAAGCGCCTTTACTAGTTCAATTAAATTGGACAGCAGAAAATCAAGAAGGACGGTTCATATTACGTGATGAGTCTAAACCCCAAACAATCACTCGTCCTGTAAGTAAAATAATTCAAATGTATTTTCAATTTATCACTGACAGACTACTGAAAAGTTATTTAAATAGATCGAAACGTTCAAAAATCACTATAATCTTTTTAAAACATCGTAGTATTACGACATTTTGATAATAAAACAGTTCTTATCAATGGTATTTAATGTTCATCAAGTTCAATTGCAAATTAAATGAAATCGATTCGAACCAAAGATGTCTACCCATCAGTTTTAATAATTAAGGATCTGACACAAAACTAGAAGGTCCAAAGTTCGATACTCTGGTGATGCCATTGCTAAAAAGTCCCATAAAAGGATCAATAAAAATATTCAATGCCTCCTTTATATGTTTACTGACATTGATTTTTTTCCTCTCTAAATGTATAAATAAATATATATTACAAGAGGAAATCTCAAATAATTTGGCATTTACTCTAGGTCAGTCTAAATTATCGATCTATCCAACATTTCATTTGTACTTCTTATATATAAATGAATATCATTAAACCAGAACATTGCAGGAAATTATTTTTTTGTAAAATTGGTAGTATCAATATTATATATCACGGTGATTGCGTTTTATTGTTTTTCCTCTCTAGAATATGCTTTTATTTTCTTGGTTTACGCCCCTGTTGTTAGTGAGTGACTCATGTGAATATGCCAATAAGGTGTATTGTTATTATTAATGAAATGAACTATACGAGTGTTTATCTATTCTATTTATGTATTTATTTACTTTTCTGTCAAAGAAACCAGTTACTATAGGGCTACACTAAGCATAAATTCATAAAATATTTAGAAAAAATTGATTAATGTACCCTAGTTATAACATGTTTATATTTCCTTAATGTGTACTGGATAAAAGATAGTTCATTATTCGATTGATTGTAAAATACAATGGAGAATCGCTATTTCAACTATTGAACTATTAACTCGAATGATCTTGAGACAGATTATTTTCATGATATTTAAGTTGATAGTAATAATAAAACAATCAACCTAGAATGCATATACACCAAAAGAGAATGTTTAATTACAGTCTTTAACATCAATAACGAGACAATGTCGACCTTTCTGAATAAAATTAATCCCGATTGCACAATTTATTGGTAATCCCAATACAAAAGCAGAGTGGATAATGTATTGGCGTTTGAAGCAATAAATGCTAGGTTTGAGTTTCAATATATACAACAATAGTGGGATGTACATAAGTCCACATGACGAGTTATAATTTAAACGCAACATGAACTATCGGTTCTACTGTTACCCGCTATCCAACTTTAATAAAGATGTTTTAATGGTTAGAAGTAATTTGGCAATTAGTCTTGAATTTCGGTTAAAACTCATCGCTATGGAGTGTATGTACAATTGCGACTTTATTCCTACTTGATAGATAAAATTCAATAAAAGTATTACTGAAAACTAGACGATGATTTATTTTTTATCTTCTTTGACTATACTATTAGATCTGATCGTTTTCTGATTTAATGCGGCAAGAAAATAAGGATGTCTCAAATTTCCAGTACTTTGACATTAATTTGACATATTCTTTCATGAGATAACATTAATTGAAGAATTGTTAGATAAAAACAGTTTAGGAAATAATGATTAGCTGTTTGATCCTAGTCTCTCGTACTTAAGCAGTGCTCAACTATAACCTTATCGACAGTTAAACTACTTAAAGTCTTCATTTGTCATCACAGTTCGTAACACGTAGGCTACTAAATTGTAGAGACTCGATGATCATCTACATTTTCAACTTGACGTCTACTTAGGAAACTATTTCCCGATTGAATTAGCTGTACAACACTTTCTATTTTGGAAGTGATCATTCTTTACTCATTAATTTTCCTCACATCTGAATCACTTGAACTTCAGTAGTGACCGCTTTTCATTAGAACCTGTTGTTGCGAACAAGAACACCAGTAGGGACAATCAAATGTAATTTAATACATCGTTACAGAATACCTTGGTAAAATCTATGAACCATACAGTAAATAATTCATTTGTAAAATATCCATCAATTGTCTCAGACTTTGTTGTTCCTTCGCTTCTATAACAGTCACTTGCTGTTCTCGTTCTCTTCTCTTCGATTTTCTCAACCTTCTACCGCCAGGTACTCCACTTTCGACTGGTTATACATACTACTTATATCTGTCGACATCAATAGCATACACCACACTAACAAGTGCATTATAAGATGGCTATGTAATATCACGAATTAACTACAGTATCAGATACCAACTCATTAATCGGAAAGGTATATGTTCATCATGGGACTTGAACATCTTGGATTGGACTCATAAATAAATAGTAAATGTGCACTTCCTAGTAGTCTCATATTAAAACAGAATAGTTTTCTAACAATTCCTAGTTTTTTAGTGGTTATTTAATTGAGTTCATTCCGTAATCTAAATTAAATAACAATCATAATGAACTTAATCTAACTCTCCAACTGTATGTTGAGTTTTTATTAAGTTGAAAAGTCACATGAATCACATACTGGTATTATTATTATTATAATTCTTTATCAGTGTATATCTGTTGTGTGCAATGTCTCTAATTTCTACAATATAATATAACTATAGACAAGTGTTTGTATGCATGTGTAGTTTTTCGAAATATATTTTATCTATTTATGTTCAACAATTCAATATTACTCAATATGAAAACAATGGTTCATTTTAGTTACCATACCATAAATGGTATGTTTGTTTATGTAGGCTAAATTTATACCGATTTGATGTGTCACACAAAATTAAGTTACCTTGGTTACTTATTTTAAAAAAAACGCAAATCTTTATCGTCGTGGGCACCAAATGAACCTTAAAAGTGAAACAAAGAATCTCACACTGTTGTCTTTGTTATTTATAATTCGAATATTGAAAACACTAAAAAAAGTTTTTAAATTAGTTTTTCTCTTTGTGTGTTTTGTGCATAGAATATTGTATCAATATTGATATATGTGTATGTTTGTATGTGTGTAATTGAGTGCCAACATTTTACACAATAATATTATGAGAAAATTTAGATATATGGACAAATGAACTCTAACCTATTGGTTTAATTGATAATATGCACCCTTTAAGGTATTAAAATTTTGAGTTCGACTGCCTGACAAAGTTATGATTGTCTGTTGCTGAAGACAATTGAAGATAAACAAAAGAGAGTATGCAGTTCATCATTATTTGCAATAGTTGTCTAATTGAGATTTTCCTATGCTAATAAGAACATCCAATTTAGTACTCATGAACTATATAAACTTGATTAGCAGTATTAATATACTCAATAAGATTGGTTTAAAATATGACAGTGTTATTCATTAATTTACTAAGTTCAGTAACTTCGTGTTACTATTATTACTGACTTTGTTCCATAATATATTTTTGGTACAATATTGAATAATTCTCAGAACAAAGTATTTTAACAAGTTCCCTTTCTTATTTCTTGATCAATCCCGACAATAAATATCGACTGATTGCCAGTTTAGATGCTAGAAGTTCAGGAATCAACATCTGAATAATGTTCACTCTTTTTAATGCATATTGCCAGCCATCACGTTTCTGATTTTACTTTTTGTAAACTTTTCATAAACGTGCCTGAATGAGTTATGCAATTAATAGATATAGTGATGTGTGAAAATAAACAGAAAAACAGATAACGTATTGAAATATGTAGATGGCAGGAATGTGTAGCGTCGATATTCAAGCAGGCCGTCAGTAGTTTTCCCTAATGTTGTTTGTTGTTGATAGATTCAAAATTAAAATCAATCAAGCTAATGTTTCTCATACGTTTGCAGGTATCATTGCCAACGTTTGATTTCGAATAAATTGAGCATTAGGTAGATTGTTGTGAATAAACAATATATTTGTAATATCTCAATGAGTAGAAAAAATTGGATTTTCTGACGTTTCGTGACTTAGTGTAAGCTACTTCTTTAAAGACTTTATTTATTCTCTGAAGAAGTAGCCTACACCAAGTCACGAAACGTCAGAAAATCTAATTTTTTCTACTCATTGGGATATTACAAATATATTATTTATTTATAATGTTTCTTATGTTTCATATCTATGCGATTGAAGAGGTTCATAAATATTGTGAATTCATATTTCTTAAGTTATCCAATTTTTTCTTTCTGAAAGAAAATGATTCATTTTAAACAATAATCATACTTGAATAACTAGATGGATGCCGGCTCAGTGGTCTAGTGGTTAAGTGCTCGCGCGCAAAACCTATATGTCCTGCGTTCGAATCTCACAGAGGGGCGAGGTCGTGGATGCGCACTGCCGAGGAGTCCCACAATAAAACGAAACGGCCGTCCAGTGCTTCCAGGTTTTCCATGGTGGCCTAACTTCAACTGACTAATGATCTAAAGTATTGAAATTACTATAATATCCACAAAACCCATATGATATTAACTAGTTAAATAGTCTAGAATACAAAATACATAGCTGTTTGGGTTTAGCTTAATATTGATTGACAAACTATATATGAAATATTTTCAGTCGTAATGACGGTTTAGTTTATATGTTCATGTAGAAATTAGTTGCTTGTTATATCGTCGAGAATAGAAATAATAAAAAAAACTCGATAATTAGACTATTCAGCTCAGAATTTAACACTAAAAAATGTATTTAACGGAGTTACAATTGTTCGCCATGTATGAATTGATAAATGCATTAAAACTGGTGAAAATGATTTAAATGCATTTATTTTTTGTTTGGTTTCACGCATCCTTAATTTTCAATTACCTTACACTTGCTTATACTGCAAATTCATTCTTCCAGGTTGAATCATATCGTCTACCATCAATGTTTTCTTCTACAACTGTCACTGTTAGAACTTCTATCATTTTGACATTTACTTGATAATTTCATCTCTCTGTACTAATATAGTATTAAAACTTGAATAGATGCAAATATATATCAAGTTCTCAGTTGCGTTTGACTGGCCGACTGAAGAGAGGGAGATAGGAAAATTAAATGAAAGTTTTAGGTCAGTCGAG